CCCGCTCTGTCACGCACAAAGCCGCTGTCATCCTGAAACTGACAGGATGACAGCGGCTCCGATCTACTACCCGCTCGGCCATCCTGACAGCTGCGGGCGCGGCTTCTCTCCCCCTCACCGCTCGGCCGAGGGAGCGCTGTCATGTCGGATGGCCAGCGGTGAGGAGGAGAGGAGCAGTCCCGAGGACGAGCTCTGTCGGCCGCCTGGTGCCTTTGTTGCCATGGCGCCATGTGCGGCCGCACAGCTCGCACACCCCTAAGGCCGGCCCTGCTTAAAACTCTGTGCATCATGTACTCATCATATTCCCCTGATCTCCTGACTCCTGCACTATATTGTACATTATATACGTCTGAAAAAAATGTTCATTGTCTCAACAGTTGCTCGTTGCTAAGCAGCCACACCTATTTTAATGAATTTCTACTTCACTGTTAATGCTGATGTTAACACAATTTGGCTACACCCACTGTTCGCTGTGGCATGCTACATGCGCCACATTATTACTCTCCTTGGGTGTACATTCATGCCCTAGGTATTTTACAATCCTAGCAATACCCTCCCCTAGTGATACCCTAACAAGTATCAATCCATGTTCATCTATTTTGTTTTTCTATTTTATTTATGGAGATTAGAGTTATGTATAACAAATAATGTGACTTTATCAATTTACCTAGAAACTGTGTTAAATAAATGTTCTTCTTTCTCTTTGAAAACTTCACAGTGCAGATTTAATCTGCCCCCTGTGTCAATCTTCCATTATGTGTCCTCTTTCAGAAAGTGAAAACAACTGATCTCCCACCAAGTCACATCTGCTCCGAGTCCATAATATAGCAGACGAAAAAAAATGACACCCTGAACCCTATAAACCAATAAAGATTGTCTGATTTGGTTTGCCCCTGTTGTTACCAAGCAGGCAACCCACTGGGTTAAGGACTGGTGACATCTGTTTAAAAAATGCCAGGAGTTAGAGGAACAAAAAGGTAATAAATCAACTCTGTACAAGGTGCTCTGCAGAATTCATAATCTCTTTCACTTCAGTGTGCAACACGAAGAGTGCCTCGGCCAGAAGTGCCTGATCCATGTACAACTTGTAATAAGATATGGATTTTTAGATTTGTGAAAAATAGAACCCATAAACTAAAATATTAATAAGGCAACAAGTTATTTCTGAAATAAATTTATGTACTGGTACACATTCCAAAAAAATCTTAATTATTTCTGCATGAGCTGAAAAGTGTTTTGTTGTAGCCATAATTCAGCAACAAAGAAGGGACTGTGATAGGAAAGGTTACTGTTGTTATTGCTATGTGCTGATTACTACATATAACCCATAGCTACCAATTTTCCTTATTTTCTTAGGACACTGCATGGTGTGGGAGATGTGCCCCTGAAAATATCCCTGATTTTAAAACCAGAAATTCCAATTACTTGTTTGTTGTATTCAGTCTAAAAATCTAAAAGAATTAAACATTTTAGGAAAATGGCTACATACCTAAATGCAATACATATATGAGAGCTGAGCTGTCTTACCTGCAAAAGGATTTGTATATCTGTCATCATTCAGTCCTGAGGTTTTTGTAGCTCTACCCACAACACAGCCTGGCCTAGCATCGGAGGAGACCTGATCTTTCTCTGCTGCAGTTTCCCTTTCAGTTACAGGTTCCCTTCCAACCTTGTGAATGGACAGTGAAAGGAGAAGCACACTGATGAGCTGATCTGTCACTCAGCTCGCTCCTCCAATCATTATGCTTCTTGGGTTGGAGCACACCTGAATGACTATTTGTGCTGCTTCTCCTTACCCCTTCTGAGCTTGGTTTTGCAGACTGTGCAGTAGACTACAAGATGCTAATACCATGTCAGATTCAAGTATATACACTGTTTGCATCTAAAAAATGCATTTAATGATGTATTAATATAAAGCTGCATTAATCAGTATTTATATCTGCCTGAAGTTCAGCTTTAAAAGAGAACTATGGCCAAACCTTTTTTGCACGCAGTTCTCTTTCGGATATCAGTAGGAGATTTACTATGTCCTCCTGTGACCCAAAACTCAGTATATAGCGTGCTATTGCCACTATATGCTGTCAGTGCAGAGCCATGCTAGTTGGGAAAGATCCCAACAATGTTGTCAGGTCCATCCCGCCACCTGATTGACAGGTGGCTCTGCCTCTCTGCTGTGCCCACCTCATCCCTGTCTGTCCCTCCAGTAAGCGCTGGAGGCATGGAGAGGGGAAGGGGGAATCCCTGCGGGGAGAGGTGGCTGACAGTGACTGCGGGGAGAGGATAAGGAACTGAGCAATCAGCAGTATGTGATCACTCAGTTCTCAATCTATAGAGCTGACGTGTAACAGCTGCAGCGTCATATGTGAGCTGTAATTATGGGGATGAGTGGATTTTACTCTTGCCATAATTCTCCTTTAACTTCTTGTAACTGTTAGGCTGAAAGATGAAAAATCACCAGTGTCAGCCAATTAAATGTATTGCATTCCATAGGAGCATGCTTTCCTGAACAGGGAAGAGCACATAGATGCACTCATCATTGTGCTGATGTTATTTTATTGTCCCATCAGCAGGCTGGGGACAGCAAGGTTACACCACTGTATTCCTTGAAGTGGAACTCTACTTTTAGTAAGAGAAAACAAAATAATCTCCAGGTAGTTATATACTGTACATCGCAAGGATATTAGCACACTTCATTGCAGAATCTTATCCTAACTGCTGTTGTTGTATTGGCGCCTGTATTTTTAACAGGGGAAAGGAGCTGGACATAAGCGGTGCATCTTAAAAACTTTTCTTAGGACATCTCTTACATTCAAAATCCTTAAGTGGTTAAGGGTTGAGTTTTATTGTAAGGGACCAAGTTAAGAGTTAAAGGTTAATTGTGCAGGTTAGGTAAAGAGTTAGGGCTTGGGTGAGAACTAATTGTTGGAGTCAGGTAAGAGTTAGGTATAGATTAAATATCAGAGTCATTTTTGGCCCTGTTTACTTGTTTTCCCGCAACAAATGCCCTGCACAAAGAGCTGCCTAATGTACTGGCTGAACAAGCAGGACACATGGAAGTTAGTGTATAACTGTCACTCAGTTGGCTGGCATTTTATAATAAACTATCAAAAAGGGTCTCTGTTTAATGTCACCTCATAGCATAAAAATTCAGAAACCCGGATGATTAAACTTTACTGCACTCCAAGGTCATTATCTGTTCAACAAGCCTTATCTAACTAATAATGAGATGTAAGGGTAATGGTCTAAAACTTTTTGGGATCTTTTTGGCATATATAAGTGCAATTCTAATCTTCAATAAAATTACAAGGAGCATTAAATGTGCTCAATTATGCTGGGATATCATTTTCCACACTCCTCGACTCTGTTTAATAACTGAACATGCATTTTATACTGCTCCCACACCTTTATTCGCTGAGCAGTATAACATCACTCAACATTACTAACTTCGACATCAAGGCATTTGCTCAGTCTTATAAGCATATTCATCATGACTCTGTTACCGGGTGTAAAGGGAAAAAGTGTAGTTTAAAGAGACCGGGAAATGCTATACTTTTCACAGGTGATGCCATTTGCACTTGTGCCAATATATATGTTCTAATTTATTTATTTTTTTGTTACCAAAATTAAGTAAATTAGCTGGAAGGACCAGTCTAAGAGCAAGCCAGCTCCACGGTTCAGGTGAGTATAACTTTTTTTTAACCTAGACAAATACTTGTATTGTTGGGGTAGTCCCACTGCAGGGGTTAATAATAATTTTTACTAGAGTTCTTCTTTAAAGAACCCTTAAATATGAAATGCTCATGCTTTTTAGCATATATTGACAATATAAATATAAGAAGCGGTTGATGTTGATGCAGATGTAAGTTCATAAATACAATGCCACAGGGCCCAGCATATAATAAAAATAAAAGATACAATCGTGTGTGAACTTGAGGTCGGTTAGGGGTCAGTCTGCAAACCATTTTGACCACACAGAGTGGAATCTAAAAGTCGCCTGATATCATTACTTTGTCTGAAGGAACTTCCAATGAGCTTTACTGCTCCAGGGTGAGCACTGAGTTGAGCAGGGGAAAGCCTTTCATGGAAATTAGCCGTACGCAAAGGCTCCCTGTGTGTATTCCTTATGACATCATGACTGCTAGCCAGGGCCAATACATAGATATGTAAAATACCAGGATCTTTATAATCCTCTTTTTTACCTGCATCTGGTCTCCCATTACTCCTCTGGATATTGTTTTTGGCTAGTTGTGTCTTTGCTTTGACGCATGATTCCAAACTAAATATTTTGCCACACAAAATTACCATTTCCTGCAAATTTTAGCTGCAAATTTTAGCTACCTGTATTTGTGGATCTAGTAAACATTTTGACATCTGATCTCTGCTAAGGTAACAGCTGATTACATATCATGCTTATTTTGAAATTGTCCAGTTTTGAGATACAATATATAACATCTTTATCATGTTCCACCTTACACAAGCTCTAGTAGTTTTGGTCTACAGAATAACACAACAAAAGTGTAATATTTTGTCCCACATGCTAAAATTAATTGTGGTCATTTTTACATCAGTCCAACCACTCTAGTGCCTGAGCAAATGGGAAGCGCCAACATATGCAAATTTACAGAAGGTTCTGCAATTACATGATTTATTAAAGCTTATGTGTAAATCAACACTGGAGGAACACATTCAGGTCCTGTTTAAACACATTGATTGCTTAAAGCTTACTTGCTCAAATGAAAAATAGTAAAGTCTGCAGATGATTCTGCAGTTTGTTTAAAAAGCAAATATCTCTATGCAAAAGCATACCAACAAAAGACTAAGATACCTTCTGCTATCGTTCTATGATTCCTAACAGCTCACTCTAGATATACCAGATAATAAGCTTTAATCTTCAGAAAAAAGGCATAAAACGTATAATGTTTTGGCAACTACAAAAGCATTCCTACTTTTTGAAGCTGTTGCAAAATGTAGAACACAGGACAAAAGTCAGAATGTATTACCTTCATCTCTTTTGCGTTTGTTGCTTTCAGCATTAGACGATGTTATTCCCAGAATTCCACTGATCGAGTAAGAAGAACCTGCTGAGTCTGTGCTTACTGAGGAGACCTGAGTCACTGATCCAGTTGAAGCTGCAAGGAGCACAAATAAGACAAATTATACCAACAAGTTTTGTTTCATATACAAGGAGTAGATTATTAGGTATATACAACCATTTATTAATAGGTTTATACTTATGAGTCAAGTTATGCAAAGACAGTCTATAGTAGAAATGTTTACGAATGAAGTCTAGGATTATTACTGGACCTTGTATATCAAAGTGCCTGAATGAAGAACTGTTGTACACTACTAGCAACTAGTTTGGTTTATTTCATTTTCTCAGTGTAGCATGGAGAGATTAAATCATTTTTATTTGTTACTATGGGTTACAAAATCAGACACATGTATCAGACCCACTAAGTACCATGTAGAAAAATAACTGAGGAATGGTCAGTGTGTGCTACTAACTATGTTTCCTTTGCAGTGTTTCTACTGAATGCAGGCAGTTTTTCTGTCTGACACTTCATTCATGACTTTAACATTGTAAAAGATGTATATGTCCAAGCCTGTCTTGCAGGTTTGGAATTTTTTTTATACTTTCTTTATTCTGTATTCTTTCAGCGACATCTCTTTAACTTTCAAATATCTGGAATCACTTTTGGTAACACAGAAATGCAACTTATCAGAAAATATTTTCATATTGTTCCTTTTCAGCCAATCAAAACATTACGATAATTAAGTTGCAAAAAGCAATTGTTTGGGGTAGCAATACATATGGACTGATTTACATAAGGTACTGAGCATTTTTGCTCACAAATCTGTGTGAATATTTACTACAATTATTCAATCATGTGAAAAGCATCTGAACATTATTTTGAATTTAACGTAAAAACGTGATTGAATATTTGAAGTGAATATTCCCACAATTTTGTAAGTGGAGACTCTTAACTCCTTTAGCTAATCAGCCTCACAGTCTAGTCTTTTCAAGCAATGTGCTCAACTCAAGCATCACTGATCTGTGCATGTTGGTTCCAACTTCTTATTATCTCTGAGGAGAAAAAGAAGTATCTCGCCACATGTATCCCTCATTCACCCTTTAGCCACCTTAAAGAAAAGGTTGCAGTGGTCCCCAGATGCGCATCAATGCATTTGGGGATGTGATGATACCTCACCACTTCTTGCAATATCTGCCTGTCTATGGTCAGCCTAGTAGTACCTAAACATATAGGAAGGCGATCGAATGGCATGGTATGAACATGCACATGCATACAAGCTGAGCATTTTTACAGTATGCTTTTCAAACACTTAAGAGTAATATCAATCATCTGGAAAATCTATCCATGATGATCATTTTCTTCCTCAAAGATTGCTCATTGTGGAGGGGGGGGTGAACAGATCAGATGTAGACATGGGGCTGTTACCCGGGATGGGACATTAGATGTCTTTACTTTATTGCCTTGTAGATGGCTGCAAATAACACTTTTCTCCTATAAAAGTGTACTGTCCCAGTGTAAGATTAATATAGAGAAAGACAATGTTTTCTGCAAAAAGTCCACAGTAGTCCACAAAAAGTCCCGTAACAAATAAAAGTAATTTTGCAAGCATAGCATAGTATATAAAACTGGAAAACTGTACCTACACCCTACAAATAAACCTTCTAGCCTTACTGCAACAGTCCTTCATAAAAGCAGGGAGCCAAAAGATAAATGTATTAAGTGCAACTGTGCTATTTAACTAAATAACTAATATTGAACTAATTAACAAAGTAACTAATTAGTACATTTTGTGAATATTCACTTCAATTTTCCAATAATGTGCAGATAAAATAGGTAAACAGGAATTTGCTTTTCACATGATTGGATAATTGAAATGAATATCCACACAATTAATTGTATTAAGATTCTCAACGTCCTCAATATCTCCTACATCTAATAAGCGATAAATTAGAGCAAACTGATTATTGGTTGGGGCAACACACTGCACTTCCTCATCATTTTTTGCAATACCTTAGTGAAAAGAGCTTTTGTCCTTGCAACATAGGGTTTCTGCCAAGGACACTAACTGTATGGAGTACGTATGTTTTTCCCAAGACTACATGGGTTCCCCCATAATCCAAAAACAGACCAGTAGGTTAATAAGCTTGCTCCTCAACTAGTCCTAGTGTGTGTGTGTGTGTGTGTGTGTGTGTGTGTGTGTGTGTGTGTGTGTGCGTGTGTGTGTGTGTGTGTGTGTGTGTGTCTGTATGACTGTAGTAGATACATCTTGCTAGCCACCACTGTGGCAGAGACTCAGTGTTCTCTTCCAAGTGCTGCACTCTCAACACTATCAGTTCTATTAAAATAAACAATATAATTTGAAAGCCAACAAAGATATTGTTTTTCTTTACAGCATACAGGTTTAAAACTAAGACAAAATCTTCCCATATAGATTTTTAATAGATAGGCATCATAATCATGTTAACTGCACACACAGCAATAGATACTAGAATATTTCATGGCACAGATCAGGTCCCTTGCAAGAATGCCAAGGATTAACTTACAAGTATACTTTCATTACAATACACTAACCTTCTCTGCTTGGAGATGACTGGAAGACAACGCTATAAAACTCTAAACCTGATTATGCACAGGATTGGCCAGTGTTTGAGAGAATTGTGGCCAGATGCTGTTATCAAAGTCATATTTTAGGGAAGGCCACACCTGTCCTCATGAGGTCAGTAAACAGCTGGAGTGTGTTGTGGGGTTGTATATAATTATTTATAATATATTTATGTAAAAAAGCTCAGGGTAGCTAGGAAGAGTAGGTTTCTTGAAATTAAAGTGCACTTGTCCTTTGAGAAGACATATATGATCACAAAGCTGCAG